GAACAGAGCATGAGACCATTGCATGGCTCAAAATCAAGAAAGGAGTGTGTCAGTGATGTAACCTTTCTCCATACCTTTTCAATCTCTATGAGGAACAGATAATCTGAAAGGCTGCACTTTCTGAAGAAAAATGTGGCATCAGGTTTTGTGGAAGACTCATCAATAGTGTGTATTATGTAGATGACACAATATTGTTTGTTGAAAATGAGGAGGACTTGAAACATTTACTGCCAAAGGTCAAGGACTGCAACCTTCAATACGGATGGAAGCTCAACATTAAGAAAGCAAAGATCCTCACCACCAGGACAACTGACAGTATCACGATTGATGGAGAAGAAACTGAGGTTGTTAGCAAATCCCTTTTTATTTGGATCCACAAGCAATATCCTTGACATCAGCAGTTAAGAAATCAAAAGACGAATTGTTTTGACAAAGTCTGCTGTCAGGGACTTTTCCAGAGTACTAAAGAGCAAGAATGTTAATTAGCCTTGTTAGTCAAGGCTAAGGTGGACATGATCCAGGCCATGATTATCTCAGTTGATTGCTATGCATCAGAGAGCTGGACAATGACTAAGGATGTCATAAAAATAGATGTCCTGAGTTGTGGTGCCAGAGAAGAGTAGGTCTGTCCTGGAGAGGGTGAAACCAGCTTACTCTTTGAAGACAAGGGCTTTGAAGTTCGGTCTCACATACTTCGGTCATGTTACTAAGACAGACCAGTCCTTGAAGTAGGACATCATACTTGGGAAGGTGCACAAAGAGACGAATTGACTCAGTGATTGGGGACTGGGGTCCAGTGTGTCAGAGACAATGCGGTTGGCTCAGGATAGGATAGGGCTCAGAGCAGTTGTTCGTAGGGTTACTGTGAGCTGTAGTGAACTCAACAACACATAATAAAAACACAACCAGGATGTGGAACTTCAGAAGCACTAAACACGTATCAGGTGAACGAACTGGAATGTTCCATGGAGACATGGCTCTAATAAATTTCCAAACTGAGAGAAATCCCTTGGCGTATTTGATTCTGCATAAGCTGACTCAAAAACTTCTCATTTAGTTGCTGTTGTAAAAATATCTATTACATAACATTTGCAACTTAAAACTGCATTCTGGAGTAGATTATTGACGTTAGTTATATTATCAGCCACGCAGCCATTATCCTAAACCTTTATTTGACGAATACAAAATTATTTTACCCTGTTCTCTCACGTGCCTTAGTTATCACTCTTCTATTGAGCAATTTTCTACCTCGGTTTAAAGGAGAGTGTTGTGGCTCTCATCAGAGGATGATTTCACTGCCCCCTCCAACTTTGTAACTTAAGGGAGATAGACTGTGCTGGAGAGAAGCCTTTGAGAGGAGACTTCCAGATGGTTCCTCAGGTGCAGGTTTTCTTGTTTTTAACCATGAAGCTCTACTAAGCTGACGATGACTAGTTTGGCCAAGAATGGATTTCTGACCACAAGGAAGCCACTCAATGCGTGGACAGTGACCTCTGTGGTGGCACAATGTTAGTTGCCTGGTAGAGATGCAAGCAATTAAGAACTCACCAGACCCTTTCTAGGAGAACTTATGAGTAGGACACATATTGAATATGCAAAGGCTTTGACTGTGTGGATCACAACAAGCTGTGGCTGACTCTGAGAAAAATGGAATCCCTTGATCATGCTAATGTGAAACCTATACTTGGACCAAGAGGCAGTCATCAGAACAGAGCAGGGAGATACTGGATGGTTCAAAATCAAGAAAGGGGTCCGTCAGGGATGTATTTTGTCTCCATACCTTTTCAATCTGTATGTAGAACAGATCATCTGAGACGCTGGGCTGTACAAGGAGGA